TTATTCATGAGCCCTTTCCCTCTATATTTGAACCCCATGGATCGTCTCTTAAGTTGTTCTCTTTGGTTGCTTACACCTGCTGCGTGACACTGGCCCTTGCCAAGCAGACATGCCACCCCCGAGGCTTGCCTCCCTTGGAAGCCCGGAGGACCACACTGCTGCCTCCCTCCCCCTTGCCTAACAAGCATGCAGATGTGGTCCCAAGGCCATACCCATGGACCGCATAGCACGACTTTGCCGAATGCTGGAGCAGGTGCCAGGGAAGCCATGCCGAGGCTCTCTCTACAGCCGAGAACCCTTGCACAACCCCACCCCCCATCAATACTAGGGAGGCCCCCCCCCCCCCCCACGCCACCGGCCAAAGGCCACAAGCACTCACACATGCGACATTGCATCGGGAGTTCCACGTCTGGATCACCGATCGGGTAACACCTGGACGAATGTTGCATGTGCTTGCCACCAGAGCCACTAAGCACTGTTTCCTTCGGCCGGTGGGCATGGGAAGCCCACAATGTGAGGCACACAAGGGGAGCCATCAAAGTGCCATGACGTGACCCTAGCAAGCAAGCCAACCCTCATTTGTATGGGAAGCAAAGTTGGGCAGCCACAGTTCAACCCTAGCTGCCTGAGAGCCTCCACTCTAGTGAGAATGAATCCAATGACGCTGAGCTCCTGCTCGAGAAGGTTGAGATCGCAGTGTTTCTGCGTCGATCATAGCTTGAAAGCCCATCCATCATCCTACAGGTAAAAAAATCCCTCCTCTTTCTGGGACAACAGCTTTTGGCTATTTGTCCCAATCAGAGTTCAAGCTTGAGCATGAGCAGGAGCCAAGTCCAAACGTGAGCCCAAGCAAAAGCCCGAGTACGTGCTCGAGCCCGACTTCAAGCCCAAGTGCGAGTAGGCAAGAGCCCACACGTGTGCTGGAAGTCTAGTAGGGGGTGTGGAGCCAAGCACCCGAGGTCTGACCTCAGCTGCCCACACTCCCATCCCCCACTATCCTTCCAGTGCTCACGGCCTACCACGCCCTAGGGATACAAGTGCTTTGGGCTTTCACCCCACGTGTCCATGTCCAAGCCGAAACTCGACTCCAACATGGTGCACGCAAGGTGAAGCCTGGCAGCCCGCGCATGCACTGGAAGTCCAGCAGGGGGTGTAGAGCTGGGCAGCCGAGGTCAGACCTCAGGTGCCCACACTCCCATCCCCCACTATCCTTCCGGTGCTTGCAGCCTACCACGCCCCAGGGAGACAAGCACTTTGGGCTTTCACCCCATGTGTCCATGTCCGAGCCGAAACCCGACTCCGAGATGGAGCCCGAATCAGACTCCGACATGGTGCACGCGGGGTGGAGCCCGACAGCCTGCGCATGCATCTCTGTTGCATATTGAAGCAAAAGTGCGAGTGATTACACCTAGATCCATTGGAACTATGGCCTCTATCCCATAAACAAGAGAGAATGGAGTCGTGGAGATGGATGTCTTGATAGATGTCCAAAAGGCCCACAATACCATAACCAAGTGCTCATGCCAATGCTTTAGGTGATCCTCCACAAACTTTGAGATAATGGTTTTCAATATCTTGTTGCTAGACTCTGTCTGGCCATTGCACTCAAGATAGTATCTGGTGCTCTTTATGTGCTTGACCTATAGTTGCTGGAGAAGATGCTGCATCACCTATTTGAAGAAGTTGCTACCACAATCGGAAATCAAAACTACAGGAACTCTAAATCTGGCAAACAATGTACTCATAGACAAACTTTGCTATAGACTATTGATTTACTTGTCATAGAGCGATGGCCTCAACTCATTTTGTGAAGTAGCCTATTGCCATGATGATATATCATTGTCCTTTTGAACTTAGTGGGTTGATAAAGTCAAGTCCCCACTAGAAAAAGGGACCTAGAGAAGTGACAAGTTAGAAAGAAAGACATAGAACGTGGCTTTAGAGGTTAAACTGTTGGCATTGCTTACATGCCTTTACATAGTCCAAGCTTTCCTGGTGAATTTGAGGCCAAAAGTAGCCATGGCACAAGAGGAGTTATGCTATGACCTGTCCCAAGAAATGCCCCACACAAGAGTGGAAAGCATGAAGGAGCTCAGAGACCTTGTGTTCACCCATGCACCACAACAAAATGTCCTATGAAGTCCTCCTGTAAAGATGTCTGTCGAGAAGGCAAAATCACAACATTTGCATAAAGTGTTGGATTTGTTATGCAAGCATAAGGTTTATGCTAAGAAGAGTAAATGCGAGTTTATGCAATTTGAATGCAAGTATTTAGGCTGCATTGTCTCTGCTAACAAAGTCAAGATTGATCCATAAAAGGTTGCTATTGTAAAAGAATGGCCGACTTCAACAAATATTGTTAAGTTGAGGAGTTTCTTGGGAATGGTTGGTTATTACTACAAGTTTATCAAACACTATATTGATATTACTCTTCCCTTGACTCAGTTTTTTCATCAGAACACTTATTTTGAATGGGAAACATTGCAAGTACAAAGTTTTCAAGCTTTAAAGGATGCTTTGGCACATACTTTGGTTCTACATATTGTAGATCCAAGCAAACCATATATAGTTCATGCAAGACAATCATCTTATTGCATATGAGAGCAGGACATTAAACCTAACAGAGTAGCAATACTCTACATATGAGTAGGAGCTTTTGGCAATTGTTAATGCACATGATATATGGCAACATTATTTATTTGGTGTTGTGTTTACAGTGTTCATGGACTATAAGCCTTTAGTGTTCTAATTCACCCAAAAGGGGCTTAACTTTCACTAGGCATGATAGATGATCAAACACATAGAGTTTAGTAAATTTCCAATTGAGCACAAGGTTGTATGTGCAAATGATGCCTTGTCTCGTGTGCACTCTAATTTTATTGGAGAATTCTAGGAAAGGATTTGTCATGCTTTGACAAAGGTTGTGACCGAATTTGTTGGTATGGTCAAACAAATTCAATAGCAAAATGTTGAGTTACAAAAGCTTAGTGTGTGCATGGAGCCACCTTTCTCATACTAGAATGGTTTACTCTTGTATAATGGCTGGGTATATCTTCCTCGAGTTCATAAGCTAATCAACCATGTCCTCTATTATTACCATTACCATCCAGAGGCTGGTCATTTTGGGGGGAGGAAGACTTGCGAGTTGATCAAGCATAGGCTCTTTTGGAAGAACACGAAAAATGATATTCTTAAATATTGCAAGACATGTGAAAATTGTCAGCAAGTGAAGGGGCCAAGGGAAAAGTCAGCAGGGCTTTTGGTGCCATTGTCTATCCCAAATGATAGATGGATGAGTATATCCATGGATTTTATCACAGATTTGCTAAACAAAATGAACAAGCTTGAGTCATTATGGATCTCTTGACCAAGTTTGTAAAATTGATTCCTCTGAAGAAGGTAATGAAGAGTATAGACTTAGTTGTGGTATACCTTGAGTGTGTCTTTCTTTAGTTTAGTTTGCTAGTGGAGATTGTGAGTGACAGAAACTCAAAATTCACAAATGAATTTTGGAGAAGCTTTACAAAACTCATAAAGATTGGCATCAAACTAAGTAGTAGGGATCATCCTTAGATAAAAGACAAACTAAGTGAGTCAACTATGTGGTTGAAGACATACTTAAATGCACTATTCATAGGCAACAAAAATAGTGGGATAAATTTTCATTTCTTGTGGAGTTTGCTTATACTGGCTGTGGGATAAATTTTTAATTCTTGTAGAGTTTGCTTATAAAAATGATGACACCTTACTTTACAATGCATGGCTGTCATCTAAGGACAGCTTTTGAGCTTAGTTTACTTAGCTCTCAGGGATTTAAGATGGATGGTGAGGAAAAGGGTTTATCCATAGATTTGGATGAAATTTTAAATGTATGCAAGAGGAATTTGTAAATAAATCAAGACCAAGCTAAAAGGTATACTAATGAGCATCAAACTTTCAAGATTAGTGACTCATTTATATGCAAGTGATATTTCCAGTATTATAAAGTTGTACAACCATTATATCCTTAAGAGATTAGAGAAATAATAAGCTATCTCCCCTCTATAAAGCTTTGGAACGTATTGGTAAAGTGGCTTAACAAGTGAAGTTGCAAGTTTTTTATGTCAACCAGTTAAAAAGTGTTTTGATGAGGAATGAATCTTGAGTAAATTTCTTTTGGATGTTTCAAACTGAGAATAGAACTAGAGCCCCAAGAAGTAGGCAGTCCTTCTGGACAAGGACTTGTTATAATCTAGGCATTAATCTTACTTAAAATATGACTAAGTTAAATTTAGTCAATTTATTTTACATAGATTAATTCACAACTAATCAAAGGCTTTTAGTGGAAGTGGAACATGCTTTTGGACCTGGTGGAAGTGGAACGTGCTGACAGCTGTAAACAATGGCATGGGGTGGCTGGGTGGTGATTTGCTTTGCGTCAACACGTTCTAATATTGACATGCACTTGCTTCACACGGCATCTTCCTGACAAAACCAAGCTAAAGAGCAAGGACTACTAGTGCATATTGCATTTGTGGCTATCAAATCCACAGGGTGGCCACTCTTTTTTAGGGTTAGGATAGGTGTACATGCAATGTAAGGGTATGAATACCTCCCTCAATATGTATAGAAGTATAAGAAGGCAGCAGAGAGCGCAATTGCTTCAAGGCACTTGGCATTGTGAGTGCAATTGTGCTCCCTACTCTAAGTCTTGCTTAAGTGCAGGCAAGGTTCTAAACCCATGCCACGGCCACCACCACCGCAAATCCATCCCTGAAGCCACCGCAAAGGAGCAGAGGAGGGGTAAACCCAAAAGCTTTGAAGCTTCACGGCTGCAGTCAAAGATAGAGTTTGGGGAGAAAACAAACAGTCACTCCTTCAGCCCAGGGCCGTGCCGCGCGCCCACTGGCCCAACCTCGCAAAAAAGATCCTTCCAGAATATTCCTGCTAGTGAAATATTCCTTTAATATTCTTTGTGAAGAATACAATAAATAGACCTTTGAATACCACCTATTGGGCTAATGGATGCGGGATGGACTCAGCCAGAGCAAATGACTCCGGCGGTGGGATGGGATCCACGCGTCGGTCTGATCGTGTCCGATTGGTTCCAGAGCAGCATAGGTACCCGATTGCTGAGAGTGGTGGCAGGGGCATTCGAGCGCTTTGGGCTGGAGCTGGATTCTTCAGCAGGGGCGTCGTGGTTCTACGATGTAGATGGGTCGAGTGTGTCGGAGCTCAAGTGGAAGATTTGGACTATGGCAATCGCCCACGTCCTCCGGGTTCCCATCCCGGAGAATTTCCTGCACCTCTTCATCGCTGTGGACTATTTCATGCGCCAGCGAGGCCGCTCCAACCAGCAACGTTATGGTGACCGGAAACTGCTGTCCTTCGTGCTCCCTTGCCACTACGCTGTACTCAAGCTTGAAGAGGTGAGTTCTCGAGATTTCTGGTGGCAAAGCGGTAAAAGAGCTTTTTTCTATGGTCGCAGCTCAAGGCGAGAGACATTCAGACGCCAGCCACTGAAGCGATGTCTTCAGAGGAAGGAATTACACGTATGGCTTCTCCTTTTTCCTTTTCACTTTCTAACCAGTCACCTGTGCAGATCTTGTGTCGCTCATGTCTAGAGTTCCCTGTACTTTCTCGACGCGAACATGTCTTCTGGATGCCATGCGCCTGTTTGATGTGAGCGAGCAACTCTGTGTGCTCTTCTTCGCGTGGTTGCAGCTCCAGGTCCAGGTAAACAAGCAGCCGCTCGAATGGCTCGACGCTTTCCTAGCTCAAGCCAAAGCTGGCGGCGGGGGGCACCTGGGCAACGTCTTGCTCTTCTTCCTAGACACCGTGCACGCATACAGGTTTAAGGGTTTCTATCTGCTACCCAGGGAGAACATCGACAGGGTCTTTAATGTTTGCATCAAGGAACTCCCGATGGTAGAGTGGCAGTCGATCGACCTCACCCCCGGCGTCCGTCAGGTGTTAGAGGTGAAATCCTTAGCTCGACTTGCAAAACACAGATGAGACTCTTAAGGCTTCTTATTCTTTCTTTTTTTAATTATTATTTTATTTTGGCAGGAGGTGGACGCAGAAGTGACACACAAATTCGAGTGGGACAAAAGCCTTCTTTTACCTCTGGAGCGTTGGGTGCATAGGAGGTCGCTCGTTTACCAGCACAGGCCTCGCGAGATTCCATACGTTATGGACTTTACGGATGCAAGCTTGCAAATTGGCCGTCTGATCTACACTTGGACACTGACGAAGAAGGGGCAGCGGGACCATGCCGAGCTCCAGACGCTGTGCTCGACGGGCAAGTCGATCGTGGAGCACGCACAGTCGGTGCCAGTGGGAAGCAGCGACGAGCGCCAGCTCTACCGTGCCGCCGCTGCCGTTTTCGGCAAGGATCTTAGCGGCCATTTCGTGCAGCTATGCAGGAACGCGCAGTGGGAGCCGGATGGGGTCCCTTGCTCGCAATCCGAGCTGGGAGAAATAAGGGAGCTGGCATGGAGAGGGCTGATTTTAATCTTCAAATTCCAGTCCAGAGTTCCAGAGCATTACTTTGACGGCGGCCCTAAACAACTGAGAAACAAAGTGCCGTTCGGTGCCATGATCGTCTACATTGTTCACGTACGCACACAGTGTTTTTTCCGTTGGAATGTGTTTCTCAAAAAAAAATTCTGTTTTCTTTGTGTTGTTTTGCGCAGGTAATATTTGAGGATCACTTGGCTCTAGACATTGACTGCAAAACGTGGACAGAAGAGTGTGAGTGAATTATCGTTGCTTGGTGGAAGTATTTACTAAAGCTGTTTTTTGTAGGCCACACTCTAAATAGTCACCCAAATAATGCTACAGATCGGAACAAGAGTGGGATTTTTGTTGCATCAGATGGGACGAGGAAGAGATGTCTAGCTCTTGAGAAGTTGATAGAGTCTCCCAAAATACAGAGGGCCCTGGGAGCCAGCGCTGATGAAATACGCGATGCTATGGTCAAGGCGATTGCAGCAGGTGGTATATATTATGATCAGGAACACAGAAATTTATGGTTTAAAATGGGCAAAATATTCAGAGGGAATTATGAGAGGCTCTCTGCATTTATTATAGCATATGCAATTTTCAAAGGATTAATTTAAACAATATACTTATCTGTCATTGGTCTCATGCTATGAATGGATGAAATTATGTTTCAAATCTTTTTGTGGAAAGCATAAGATTGAGCCTACATTTTGACGAGAATGCCGACGCATTCATTCGGCCATTGACGAGGAGTCGCCATCTCCAGTCGAAATCTGACCCAAACCCCGCGATCTAGGCTTGAAAGAAGGTGCCACGGAGGGGAATCAAGTTCAATTGCATTCCTCGAAAGAAGGTGCCAGGGAGGCGAATCAAGAAGGGTTCAATTGCATGGCTTTGGTGAATGTCAGGCTGATGCACTGTGGAGATGGCGGCGAACTGCTTGGCCTGCCACGTTTGTGATGGAGAGCTCCCCTATCCAAATTCTAGACTGGAGCTTTCTTTTATACTAGGTGATATAGTATGGATTTGTCGTGCAATATACACTAGACAGCTTTTCTGCTTGAGTTGAGTGCCTGCCACGTGATGGAGCTCTGGATACTATGGTATCATTTAGGCAAGGATCAAGCCTATAAATCCCAGTGATTCAGGATTTAGCCCAATTTCAAGAAGCTGGACACAACGTTTCATGTGGTGTTTATGCTGATATGTCCACAACTCGTTAGAAATTTTATAAGGCACTATCAATAGAGGGATTCTTGAGTTGGAGACAACCATTCTTCAACATTGCTGCTGTTACACATTACTTATTATTTCTCTTTCTGACAAAAAACTGAAATAACTTTAAAAACCACAACCTGGAAAATACAGATGTCATCATTTTTTATCTATCTTACCTATCTATATTTTGTTTTGGCAGTCTTGTGGTGCCCAACAAGAAGCATGAGACTGTGCAAACAAGGAATTACCTGGAAAATACAGAGGTTGAGTATTTTCAATGCCAAATATGGCATGCAATTCCTAAAAGGATATAGATTTCACACCCACATAATGTTTTTCTATTGGATGAGCATTAAATCTTCATCCCATGGCAATGGATAGCTTATGCATTGTTCTTGATGCCAGTACAATGGTGGATGATGTCCCTAGTCTATCAAGTTTGATGCCTTGTCATTCAGTATGTTGGCATTAGATGTAGAAGGTAACATAATTTGCTCATGATTGGTTTGATCATTTTTGCTAGTAGTGTAAAAAGTGGCTTTGAATCACTGTTAATTTGCTATCTATAGACATCAAAGTCCTATCATATAAGCATAGTTTCTTTCCAGGTTTGCTTCAAATTTACTATCCTTCCAGGTTTACTAGCAGAGTTGGAGGAAGAGGAGGAGGATGGCCTTTCATCTAGACTCAGATTGTAGTTCAAGTATTGATAGTGATAATGTTGCTGTCCTAGAGGTTCAATCATTTTCCAGCCTCCTAGATTCAATTCATTTGCACATTTTTATGCCTTTTGTCATTTTTTGCAATTGAGGGGCTTTTGTAGTTTAGCTGTATTTGGCACTTAGATTCACTAAGGCCATTGAGACCATTGACCATTTGAGACTAAGACCATTGCCTACCTCATACACTATTTTAAAATTTCAATGCTATCATTGTACAAATATATATGGCAAATTAGAAAGGTGTATATTTTAAGGTAGCACTTAAAGAGGTAATTCATCACATCTGGACTAACAATGCGAAAGAGATTATCAATTCTTGATGTAATTGTCAACCTAAAAGATAATAGTTTAGCTGATGCTAAATTTGTGTTATCTAATCACAACTTAGCCAAGCTACAATAGAGGCATTTCAAGTTTTTTCTTTAGCATATTGCAAATTTATAAACTATGGTTTCTATGTATATGTCTTATTTTTGGTGCAACTCATTATATTGTAGCTTGCAAGCTAGCTACCTCCAAGAATCCCATAGAATATTCAATACATACACATGGGGTATTTGTCAATTTGGAAGACCCAAGCACATCCTGAGCATATAACTAAGCACTCATAGTGTTAGAGTTTTATCCAAACAAGGACTAAATCCATTTTGTTTTATAGCATATTGAGCATTTATGAAAAAAGCTCTTTGAGTGGTTAGTGTGGTTTTATAAACACGTTTTTGACTCTATAAAAGATATAGAAATAGGATCTATTGCATAAGTAAAGTTTACATTGCATCTTCTCTCCATACCTTAAAAAGGATATTTCACATTAAATTGCAACCTAGAATCTTTATGAAGTTTGTCGAGACTTCTTTAGGCCATCTCAATTATCCTATAAATTTAATTGATAGAATGAGAGCTTAGATAATAAATTGGTAAATGTTAAAAAAATTCAACTAAACCATGTTTCTATAGGATTATGCCATACTGTCGAGTTTCTACAGCATAGATCACTGCCTCTTAAAAAAGCAGGGCACAAGTCCTTTCCACCCAATTTATTTTTTTCTCGCAGAAAAAGAGAGAGCATAGCTAACCAGCCAAGTCGAGCCAAGCCGACTTTTCCTTTTTCTGGTTTTGATGTGCCAGCATGCAGCCCTTGAGGAAAACATGATACCATGTTCTGATCTGGGATACTTGTGTTCGGTCATTACCTGCGGAGTATTTTCTAATGGTGAGGATTCCCACGCTTCAAGATTTATCTCAACTTCGATTGAAATTAAGCTACACACATAGTAAGTCTAGTTTCCTTTGGTATGCTAACTTTGCTTTCTCTTTGCAAGGACATGATGCTTGCTGGTACTGAAACTTCGGTCATCACCACCGAGTGGGCACTTTCAGAGCTCATGAACAATCCAACATGTATGATCAAAGCCCAAAAAGAGATTGACACAATTGTGGGCCGTGAGCGGATGGTGGTGGAAGCCGATCTTTGCAAGCTTAGCTACATCAACAGTGTTGTCAACGAACTGTTTCGCTTGCATCCGCCAGCGCCAATGCTACTCCCTCACTATTCAACGCAAGACTGCCTACAAGATCCCCATGAACTCGCGAGTTTTGGTCAACGCGTGGTCAATTGCACGAGATCCAAGCTTGTGGGAGTCTCCCAATCTCTTCAACCCGGACAGATTTGTGGAGAGATCGATCAGCTTCAAGGGGAAGAACTTTGAGCTGCTGCCTTTTGGATCTGGTCGAAGGATCTGTCCCGGATTGTCTCTTGGCGTAGCCATGGTTTCGTATGCTCTTGCTCGCCTCGTCCATGGGTTCAAGTGGAAGGTCAGTGGCAAGGAGCTGAGCATGGACGAGATCTCAGAAGGAGTGGCAGTGAGACGAAAGGTTCCACTTGAAGTTTTTGCAACACCACGGCTAACAAACCATGCCTACTTGTAATGAAGTTGTTTTAGAAATTAGCATATTGGTAAAGTGGGTTATCAAGTGTGTTTGATATCTACCTTTGTATATATGTCTATGGATTTCCCCAGAAAAGGTGATTACTAATGTGACGGGGAAGAATTGTTAAGCATCAACTTTGGCTTAAGTCAAAGGTGCCTCAAAAGTATATTAAAGCATGGATTTAAATTAAAAAACTTAACCTACCTTAAAGGTTGAGGTAGGATCTATACTTTATTAGTTTTGCTTTATTGACATGCAATTTCTTCATCTGATGGGAGTTCCTCTCCCGCTGTGTGGACTAGAACCAAGCACCCTTGTTCTGCAGTCCTATGGGGATTTGAGGCTGGCCCAATTGCTAGGGTTTACACCCCCTCCCAGTTCTTGCCTAATGTCTCTTGTGCCATCAAGAAATCATTAAGGCAATTGAGGTGTTGTGCAGTGTTCCTGTAGAGCTCCCCATTTCTTCCAGTCCTACGTCTTCAGAGGCCTTGCCCTCGTCACATGCTGTGGTATGCTCTTTCGTTGTTGGCAAAGCTGGGGGTGCTAGAGAGCTGCCAGCTGAAATAGCACTAAATAGCTGGTGCTGGTGGTTAGTAGAAAGATGGTGAAGAAACTTTTGTGAGATCGTTCCCCTCGCATGGGCAGATTGTGGTAGTGGACGGCATACTACTCCCACGGTGCATCTACTAGGTGAACTTCTGGGGTAATGGGAGGGCCATTCATGCTTCACAGATTCTGGGTGTCCACTTTCCCGATGCAGAAGTGACTTGACTGAGGGCGTGGTCGAGCTGTTTGTCACCATTCCCAAGGGTTGTGGCAATGTGTTCTTTGTGTTTGGTTGTCCTGAGGTGCCGTCACTCGAATTTCGTGGGCGACATACTGCACTCTCGGAATGCAGCCGTTGGTGTCTCAGGTCTTCTTCACCGTATTGGGATCTGTAGTGGTGTCCTTCCCATGCTGGCGAGACTTCGCACACATGGAATTCAGCATGTTGATAGTCCCTCGCTTGGAGAACATAGGGTAGAGGGGTATTGCTGATGATGATCGTCTGGGGCCATTGGCTGTTTGGTTGTTGCGTGGTAAAGCTGCCGGCCTCCTCCATTGTTCTGCAATATCACGGTTGGAGGCGTGGGGGTTCCTAGCAACGCACCACCATCATAGTCCAACTGGTGAACGCTTGCGATTGGGACTCCCGCGGCAATGGGCAGAAGCATGCTGGGTGGTGCTGATGGTGTGTGCCCTAGAGAGGCATCCTTCGATCACGTCATTCCGATTCCATTCGCAAGAACACCTGGCCTCTTGGTGCAAGTTTAATATGGGGTTGGCACCCCAGAGAAGCTGAAAGTGACCCACCGGGAACATTCTAGTTGTACTGGGTCGTGTTTTGCATACGATCATCGTATCCACTTGTTTTGCCACCTGTCCCCTTCCAAGAGGGCCGTGAGAGAGCCACATTGCTATGCCCCAATCGTTTGGTAACAGCCAAGGCAGGATGATGATATGAGCAAGGTGGTGATGTGGTGTTAGCCGGTCTTGATGGGAAAAATTTCATGTACCTAAGCAGGCTGATGATGGCCTTGTGACGCTCTCGCAGTCGTGTTTGTAAGCTTTTGTCCCTGTGGTCATTGCTGGTAATTGATCAGTTGTCATAGTCGTCTCACGGTCATCGCCGGTGGTCTTCGCTAGTCATTGGTGCCGGTCATTGGCGATTTGAAATTTTCTTGCTGTTGGGCTATGACGACTCCCGCTCCAAGCTCCTCGGCTCCCTTCGCTCATCACCATGTCCAAACTTGCTCGCCATTCACCATTTATGTTGCTCTCGATAAGCATCTGCCATTTCTCGCCATACCCATCATCTAGAAGCTCTCCTTGCCAAGAGAAGTCCATACTCGCCCACAGTTCCTTGCCAGGAACAGGAGGTGACGCCATATCAACAAGCTTCTCGCCAGGAGAGGTTCCTCGCCATACCCATCCTCCAGGAGCACAAACGACGTCATATCCATCACACACAACATGTTCTCCCGAGGCATCCAAATCCTCTCTGAGAGAAACACGCTTCGCTGCCACAGCCGCACTTCACTCCTCGTCTAAGAGCAAGTAGACATACGCCCAGCACCCAGCCTCTCCTTGTCGAAGAAAGAAGTCTCCGAGAGACCAGAACACCCTGTGAGAGTGATGTCACGAATTGAAACCCGTCACTGCTGCGGAGATCTCGCAGCTGATGTTCGCCATCAAATCGTGAGCATCTCCTTTGGCCCCACCAGAAGAACTGACAAAGATTGTATCCTTTAACCTTAAACCATAAACTTATAAGTGACTGAAACATATTTTGCAATGAGAAGAATAAACACTAATTGAGATAAGAAATTCGTGGAGGCAGACCCTCTATTGACTTCCTTGAAAAAATACAAAGATGTCACCATCATAAAATCGTGCAGGAGGAAGCTATCTCTTTACTACATAAGCTTGCACACACTGGTCACACAATTATCCATGGCAAGTTTTGTAGCTCTATTCTTGCTTACACTGTCTTTGGGCCTTCTATGGAGGATTCTAACGAAAATTGTTGATCGAAGCCTTCCTCCAGGCCCGCCTAGAGTGCCACTTCTGGGTCACTTGCATTTGCTGGGTGTCCTTCCTCACAAATCTCTCTCGGATCTCTCAAGTAGATATGGCCCCGTGATGTTGCTCTGGTTTGGTTTTGCTCCAACGCTTGTGGTCTCTTCCCCAGATGCTGCAAGAGAAGTTCTGTGCACTCAAGACCTTGCCTTTGCTTCAAGGCCAAAGATATCTATAGCCAAGTATATGTTCTACAATAGTAAGGACTTGGGATGGACCAGCTATGGTCCCTATTGGAGATTGATGAGGAAGGTCACCACCGTGGAACTCTTCACTGCAAAAAGGCTCGAGGAATCCAGAATGGTGAGGCACGCGCAAGTTTCGAAGCTCATTGGCTTTATAGTCAATAATGGTCAAAACGGGAAAGCCTCAGTCAACATGAAATTCCTTTTGTCCATCCTCAACCTCAATGTTGTGAGCTTGATCACGTTTGGGAGAGAATTTCCGGCTGGCTCTGTGGAGCTGATCGAAGAAGTTATGCAGCTGATGGGCTCGTTTGTGTTGGGCGACTGCTTTCCATTCCTCTCGTGGCTTGGCAGCCCCGTGATCCGAAAGATGATCTCGGCTCACACGAAACTGGACCAGCTTTTGCAAGAGATCGTGGACGAGCACAAGTCTAAATTCAAGTCATCAGAGCGTGCGCGTGACTTTGTTGACGTGCTTTTGTCATTGGAAGACCAAGGAGAAATTGATATTCAATGCGTCAAAGCAATGATCATGGTAAGTTTAGTTTCCTATCGTATGCTAACCTTACTTTCTCTTCGCAAGGACATGATGCTTGCTGGTACTGAAACTTCGGCCATCACCACCGAGTGGGCACTTTCAGAGCTCATGAACAATCCAACATGTATGATCAAAGCCCAAAAAGAGATTGACACAATTGTGGGCCGTGAGCGGATGGTGGTGGAAGCCGATCTTTGTAAGCTTAGCTACATCAACAGTGTTGTCAACGAAGTGTTTCGCTTGCATCTGCCAGCGCCAATGCTACTCCCTCGCCATTCAACGCAAGACTGCCTAGTCAACGGCTACAAGATCCCCAAGAACTCGCGAGTTTTGGTCAACGTATGGTCAATTGCACGAGATCCAAGCTTGTGGGAGTCTCCCAATCTCTTCAACCCGGACAGATTTGCGGAGAGCTCGATCAGCTTCAAGGGGAAGAACTTTGAGCTGCTGCCTTTTGGATCTGGTCGAAGGATCTGTCCCGGATTGTCTCTTGGCGTAGCCATGGTTTCGCACACTCTTGCTCGCCTTGTCCATGGGTTCGAGTGGAAGGTCAGTGGCAAGGAGCTGAGCATGGACGAGATCTCGGAAGGAGTGGCGGTGAGACGAAAGGTTCCACTTGAAGTTTTTGCAACACCAAGGCTTGCAAGCCATGCCTACCTGTAATGAAGTTATCTTAGGAACTAGCAAGCTGAATGGACGGACATACCTCATTCTCTAATCTTCAGAAACATCCTCTTGAGCAGCCTGGCTTCTCTGGAGACCGTGTTGGAGTTCTGGCCCTCGCCGGGACTCTCCACGGATGTGTAGACAGTCTTGCCTTGGCTGTCCGCAGCATCAAGAAAGTCGTCTATGCCGGTGTATGTCGCGTCCTTCAACTGCATCACGCAAGCTTGACATTAGATTTCATGAATCCGTGCCTTGTCTTTTGTTTCTTACCACCATCATCTGCTTCGCAAGGCTATCGACCAATGCAAGAAAGCAACGCTTCGCATAAAACCACGTGTCTACTTCCAGCTTTTTCCCAGAAGGCTCCAAACTTCTGATGATACGGCTAATACCGAACTCGAAGTTTTGTTTTGCGCAGTAGATCACAAGGTTTACAATGCATAAATGCAATTCCTGCTTGTCTGGATTCTAGAAAAGGAACACGGAATTAAAACCACTAGCAGCCCCTTAAGTTACATATACATGGCAAACCTCTTCCTCTTTTTCAATCTTTCACATCAAATCTTCGGCCTCTTGATTCTACTAAAGACAAATACATTACAATTTTGTCGTACTATTTGTTTAAAGTACCTGGCTGGTCATAATGTATGAAACACAGAGATTCGTGAGCACAATTGCTGTGACACTGAGAATGTCATCTCCCACTTTCTTTACGATCGGTTTATAGTAATGAATTGCTTCTTTGTAGCAATTATCCTGTTAGATGCAC